ATAGCTCCTACTCATGGTAACACCGATGATTAGTTTTATAGCCTCTACTGAGTTTTTCCATACTGATAAATACTCGTCTTTCTGGTTCCCCCTGTTTGTATTTTTTCTTTTATGTGCATGTGCTCCTGGAAGCATGAAAGTTATAACTATACGTAAATGGGACCCAGGCATCTTCTACTTCCCCAGCATGGTGTCCACAATAGGATGGTAGCCTCAGTTGTATTAGTTATGTGGAAGGTCAGCTAGTGCTGCTGCTTGAATGATTGTTCCTGGCACATCCTGATAGTTTAAAGCATGTCTGCTTGATTGCCCTGCACGCTTCTCTGATATTCACCACCACCTCCAATTTAGAGTATACAGATTCACAATTTAAATTATCAGTGACCGATTTGCAGCTTCTTGATACAGGTTGGTTGCATTTCTGTTCAACATTGACAAAGCTTGCTCTTTTCTTTGATGCAGCATTGCTGGCATTGACTGGAAAGAGAGGAGGAATTATTGAGACCAGGGATAGGATGAGAAACTCCTCCTCTATTTCCATTTGGGACTTATTGCTTGTCAGCAATAAAAAGGCTTTTGTTTGTTCTCAGTTTTCCACACTTGGAAGATGAAATCCAATGGCAGTTGTTGAGAATAATAGTTCAAAAGCGGTAGGGTTCTTTTTGAAATAATAAAAGCTATTTCAAGGAGGCACTAGGCAGATGTAAATTGTGGGAATGGAATCACAGCATGTTTATCACTAAGGTATCTTGAATGCTACCTATGCAGAAATATGAGTGAAATAATGAGGATAAACCCACTTACCTTCCTGTGTTATTTATACTGTTTCTTGCAGCTGATTTAGCAGAATAACTTTCCACAGAGAGGTGCTCCAGTCTGCACAAGGCATGTTCTCATATAAGGGGCTTGGGTAGCTGTGCTTAGGGACAGCTAGAGATCTAGCTGAGCTTGGTTATCCGTAGGAATACTTTAGTTAAGGGAAACCAGTTTCTACAGCCAAGAGCAAACTCAGAATTGAAGTGTCTGCTGCAGCTCTGGTCATCTTTGGATGTTCCTTTCCAAATCTCTAGATACCTGTTGGTCAAGGCAACTCTTCGTGTGGTTCAACAGCAAGGCTGAAACTTGCACCTCCGGCTTCTGAGATAATGCTGATAAGTAACAACTTTTAACAGTGATCTCATATAAAAGGACAAAGACATTACATCTAGCCTAGCACAAATCAGGAAAGCAGCAGCAGAAGTAATACATCCGTCTTAGGAATATCGCGAATTGGAAGAAAAGCGGAGATTGAGGTAGGATAGGATGAAGAGGTGAAATAACAGGTGAAATCCTGATGCTTCCAAATTAGAGTGAAAATTTTCCATTGCCACTGGTACAGTAAGCATTTTAACAACTATATTTTGAAAATAAGCTGCTGTTTTTCCTAAGCTTGTCAATCTTAGACTGTGATTTCAGGGTGAAGCAGGGATCTAAATTTAGTTAAAATGATAATTTGAAGTTAACTGCATAAAGCATTTGCATGTATCCTCCCTCTTCAGAATTAGACCTATTTAATTGAATTGAAGAAGATTGCCTTAGGTGTCCTTTAATTCTGGTTGTGTGGGAGTTTAATGCATTTAACTAATCTGCTTGTAGTGAACATGGAATAACTGTCCTGATTGTCACTGTGTACCCAATCCTCGTGTTGTAAGTAGTAGGGTGATATTCTGGCAAACGGTGGAAAGAAGAACTTGCTTCTCCAGACATTACCAGTAAATAAATAGTAGCAAAGACGTCTTCATTTATATAGTAGTACATGCTTTAGATGAGGAGAATATATCTATCTATATATATATATATATGCATGTACCTGTGAGACACAAGACAGTGTGGGGAGAATATTTGTCATGTGGGGTGTCTCTTTAGGGCAAAAAATTTCTTTAAAAAGAGCTTAAGAATTAAAATGTGGTTATGATGCTTTTGCAAACCTGTGTATTGCTGCCATCTTTGACAACTGCGTTAGACTGATTTGTGATTGCAGCTAGAAGATTTTCAGAAACAAATATGCACTGTGGCAATCACACGCTGCCAGGGCAGAAGGAAATAATAATTTCATATTATGTATTCAGAATATGCCATCATGTAAAAACATGCTATCTAAAATTTAACCTAAAAGAAACCCTGAAAAATTAGATATTCTGAAGTAACAACAGGTATTTTACAGAACAACATCTGAGCTGGGGTGACATTTCACCTCTCAGCATCCCATTCCCGGTGAGGTGTGTGGTAAGGCCAGGGCCAAGATACAGCACATCTGTTAAAGCCACTGCTGAGGTTTCCTCACTTCTGGAAAGTGGCTACTAGAAGATTCAGCTATGCTTTCAAATCTCTATGCCAAGTCTGGTTTCCCAATGAGGTAGCAGGAACTGTTACACTTCTCTAGCTGACTATGAAAAAAGACGGACACCTGATTCTCAAAGAAACGGAGCAATATTATTGCTAAGTGACGGATTTTATGTGATACTACTTAAGAAAGCTATCATTTTTAGAGTATCAGTGACTGGTACCTGACATGTTGTTTTTCCTTCATGTGAATCGTTTTGGTTATAAAATAGGATTTTTCTGCTAACTGGAAAGTGTATCACTTAACTGTTCAAGAGCCTTGTTCTCCTCCTCGTGACCCTAAAGCATCCTCTTGGATGTCAGTAGGAGGTATTCAGCGCAGTGGGTGTTCTCATTACCACTTGACATTTTGCTGTTTGGCTTTCTCCCTGTTGCTATTTAATGATTTGAATTCTTTCTTCACCAGTCCCAGAAGCCATTTAGCAAGCGAAGTACTATTAGCGCTACTTAACAATATCGACGTAGTCACTAGGAAAAGAGTTTCATTTCCTAACAGTGCTACAGCATTCCCCCTCGCCATCTGCTCCTGCCATGTCCCTCACTGTCGCATTTCCCAGTTAACCCTTTGCCCTGGCCTCCTCACCCAGTGCTTTTGCGGAGGGTGGCACAGGCTCTGCACAGCTTTGCCTGAGCTATAAAAACCCTTTGAGGCTAAAACAGACTACAGGTCACTGTAATGGCAGTGACATGGGTGAAGTTTTTGGCCTATGTAAATTGGCATATATTTGCTTTGTGGAGGCACAGACAGACAAATAGAGCAAGCACAGAAAGCATTGAAGGCTTTCTGTCCTTAGCCTACTTTTATCACAGGCACTTCGCAACTCCCATTAGTGTCGGGTCTGGATGTCTCACAGCCTCTAATGTAATACCTCAAATAAGACTGAAGAGGGAAAATACTGTACCTTTTGGGAGAACAGAGACATCAAGACTGAAGATAAGATTCATCTTACTGAAGTTAATCTACCAAAAAGATAGATTGCCAGTTGATATTAATCATCTGTTCTTCCCTTTCTCCAGTAGAGAGGTGGGCATATCTCCCAAGGATGATTTATGTGACCCGAGTCACTGGGCAACCCTTACTGTTAAGTGGCAGTAAGAGGCCAGACTGAGAAGGATGCTCAGCTTTAGATGAGCTCAGGTGGAGGCTGGGCAAGTTCATGGTAGCAAAATCCTTTGTGAGTTATTAAATCCATAGCAATAGCATCTGGCTTATGAACTTCCTAAGCTGAAAACAGTTGGAGCCTGTGAGTTGTTAAGGGGTAGTATCAAACATGCTTGTCCTGTTGTGCTCTTACTGTTTCCTAAGCATCTATTTATGGCCACTGTTGGAGCTAACACACAAGGGAGATGGCTTTTTGTCTGACACCGTATGGCCATTCTTGCGCTCTTATGTGAGGCCATTTTAGCAGTGGGGTAGGGGGGGGGGGAATATGCATTTAGTAAGAGGTGATTTCTGCAAATGGGAAATTGGCAGTAACGTTTATTTCTAGATCTGCGGTGAAGTGCTACTGACCTACAAACAGAAAAACTGGAAGTCCATTTTACAAAAAGAGCCTGTGCCAGGGGCTGAATGTCAGTGCTTTCTATCAGGTCACCGCAAAGCTTTTGGAGATTCAGATGAGCTGTTTCACCATGTATTCACCTCAGATCATGCAAACAGCTTGTTTGAGCCATAGACGGTACGAGGAGATTCAGATCTGACATTTGCAGTGTGGTGTGTAGCTGTGCTGCTACACGAATGCTCCCTGCCTCTGTGACAGCACGAGGTGTACTAACAGGGTGGAAGCTTGTCACTTCAAATAACTCATTGAGGGCATAGAATTTGTGGCCCAAAACCCAGGTATCACTCACCAGAACAGCGCACATGTATGTGTACCTCTGTATTTTGGATGGTTGTTCCAGTTGATTTTGCAGAACTGACCACCCTAAATGCTGATACCCTTAAAATGGTTTGCTAAGGAGGGCAGCACCTCAGATTGAGCATTTTGCTGCCGGTATGGTAAATGTGTGCCCATCATTTGCTGTGAAGGTCTTTAACTAATGTCTCCATAGCCGTTAAAGGCAGCATCACTGCATAAATACACTTTTTTGTGTTTGAAGTCAGAATTGCCTTTTATGGGAATCTCTACATAAAAAGAAATCCTGATTAAACTGAGCAATGTTTTCCTTATCAAATCCCAAGACATTAAAAAGGCCAGTGGAATTGGATTCAAACCATCAAGCTGGGCTTGTTGTGAAATGGAAGCTTTTGCTCTCTTTAAAACACACTCCGTGTTGAAACTGGCAGCAAAAATCTTTGATGCAGGGGGAATGTATCAAACTTGACTTTTGCAATTTCCTGTTTGGACTGCAAACTGCTTTTGTCTAATCATATTTGATCTCAAAGATAATTTTATTTAATGTGGATTAGGTAATATGACATATCCATTGTGGTATTTCATCATTCTCTCTTTCATTTTGAATGTGACACGATATTTTCTAGTACAGATGAAATTTGTTCAGCAGTCAGCTTTGAAAGAGAGTCTATCTTTTATAGCTTTGTAAAATGTTATGGATAGAAAGAAAAAAAAAAGCTACTTTATTCTCAAGCTTCTCAAATTCTTCTCTCTAAATTGTAGATTACAGCCATCACTGTGGAGAGGAGAAGTGGCTTATCGTCAAATCCTGTCCTGTTTAGCAGCCTCCATAGCACAGCTGCAAACAGACAAGAGTGGTGTAGTTTGGTACCAAAGGGAGAGGTTACTGGGAGAGTCAAAATATGATGTGGGAGTTGAAGGACAAGGTGTTGAGAGAGATAGATTCATTTACCAGTCAGGTATCGGCCATGGTAATTTAACACTGATGCTAATTTAATGCAGCACTCTGTGATGTGGCTGAGCGAAGGCAAAGTTGGTTCCTCTGTTATTCATAGGCCATGGTGACTTCAACAGTACTGTGCTGCTGCTAGTTGTAATGGTACTACTCCTAGTATAACAGCAGGAGGGATTTTTATTTTGTTGTTACTGAGCCAGAGGATTTAATCTGTAGAAGAAAGCCCTATTGAGAAAGGCAAAGAATAATAATGGAAAAAAGCCAAAAGCATTTACAAGTGGGGTGTAAAACAGGAGTTTGTAATTGGGTCTAAAGGCTGGGAGAGGTTACTGGGAGAGTCAAAATATGATGTGGGAGTTGAAGGACAAGGTGTTGAGAGAGATAGATTCATTTACCAGTCAGGTGAGTATCGGCCATGGTAATTTAACACTGATGCTAATTTAATGCAGCACTCTGTGATGTGGCTGAGCGAAGGCAAAGTTGGTTCCTCTGTTATTCATAGGCCATGGTGACTTCAACAGTACTGTGCTGCTGCTAGTTGTAATGGTACTACTCCTAGTATAACAGCAGGAGGGATTTTTATTTTGTTGTTACTGAGCCAGAGGATTTAATCTGTAGAAGAAAGCCCTATTGAGAAAGGCAAAGAATAATAATGGAAAAAAGCCAAAAGCATTTACAAGTGGGGTGTAAAACAGGAGTTTGTAATTGGGTCTAAAGGCTGGAAGGTGACAGCAGCAGCATTGAAGCCGTTGTGGGGAAGGAAAGGTTGGTTGGTGTTGCAGCAAGTGTTTCTTAAGGAGAACATTCCCAGACCTTTTTCAGCTTTCCTTGAAGCACTGGAGTTCCACGAGATTTGAAAGGAGAGCGTAGGTAGGATGCACTGATGTCTAGGTTTTACTCATCGCTCAAGTTCAAGCCAGTCATCGATGCCATGATGGAATTTTTCCCTTCCGGTCAGGCTGGCATAGAGATTTGGACATATGGCTCTAGGTTTGGGGGTTTTTTTGCCTGTAATTCCATGGGTTTGGTCTACCTACCTACTACAATGGTCTGGGAGTTTTAGTTACTGAGTACTGCAGAGACTTGGGGCTTTACGATAGCCACACTGCTTGTGCTCTTCCTGCACTACATAACAGTTGCGGTTTCTGAGGTTGCCGAGCAGCTCTTTGGCTTTTTACAGGATATTCAGAAATGTGTGTCCTGAGCGTTTACAGATATGTGAAGCAGATGTTCTGCAGCTTTCTCTGAAACAATATGTCCTCTACTTGCATGAGACTGTGGAGCCTGCACTCAGTGAGCCAGGGGAGACTTTTCCAGACCTGTGTTCCCAAACATGCAAGGAACAAGGGTGGAAGCAAAAACCCTTTGTGTGAACTTTATTTTAGTAGCAGATGGTCTTAGTAGAGCATTAGGTATCCTTCCCTTGCCTGCATGAGGAATCCATACATTTGCAGGAGGATGTGTTTTGCACCTCTATGTAGAGGGTAGAATAGTTGTTGAATCATGAAGAATATGTGTTGTGACCTAGGATGAAGTTGGGAAGACAACTAAAACCTGTATAAAGACAAGTTTAAATAATTCCTTTTTTCTTTAACTTTGCCATATTCCTGTATTGAATATCTTACTGAGAAGTTTTCCTCGTACCACTGAGGAATCCACTAAGAGCACTAAAGAAACTTTATCCTTCCCAGTAGGAGAAGTCTGGGGTGGGAGAAGTGTTGGAAATTTGCCACTTCATTGCTATGGAGCCTTTCAAAATCCAGTTTGAAGTTTTTCCACTGTATAGATTTATAAATCCTCCATCGGTGAGCAATGGTGCGTTTTGCAAATGAAGTTAGAGCACTGAGTACACTCCACCTGTTTTACAGTAACAACTTTTGCAATTCATATGTTTTTGCATGATCTCTAGATAAATCAAGGGTTCACTTCTGAGCCATACATGAAGGCAGAACAAATTCTCTGCATCACGTCCTTGCTGTGCTTGCTCTGATGCCTTTGTGCAGTATGATTCCATTGCTGGTAGTCACAAAACAATCACGTTGCTGTAAACCTACGTTTTGGTGAGCGCTTTGTGGCTAGCTGTATCTCTTCTTTCTAAATGCATATAATTATAATTACTTAGGTTGATTTGGAGCCTGTATGCCAGCTCTTACGTATATTCCATGTAATATACATAGGTTTCCTGCAATAATATTGATACTAACAGAAATGAAGAAATAGTGTAAAGTGTGTGTCTGCGGTGTTCCTGACAGGTTAGCACCACATACATGAAATCTCAGTAATTTTGCAGGTTTGCTAGTGGTTACTCTTTTGTAATGACTTGGAGACAAAGCAAATAGATTGACCTTCAATCTAATTTTGCCTTATCTTTCTTCACAGCTTCCTGTTATGGGAGGAGCCTTTATGGACTCACCCAACGAGGACTTTAGTACAGAGTACTCCTTGTTTAACTCATCAGCCAACGTCCATGCAGCTTCTTCCATGCAGAATCCACCAGAAGAGACATCCCGTTCTTCAAATGATGCCATATTGTTATGGATTGCAATAATAGCAACAATTGGAAATATTGTGGTTGTGGGAGTGGTGTATGCCTTCACCTTCTAGGATGACTGTCACTCCAAACACTGGAAGAGAGGATAACTGCAACAGTGTTTGTCATATGTATGTATGTGTGTATATATACATGTATATCTATATAAATACATATAGGTAGGGACTTTGTTTATTAAGTGCTGCCACAATCATGGAAATGAAATGCAAGTTAATCATCTTGAATCTTGATGGCAGAAAGTTTGGATGTAATTGCAAATTGTATGGAGGTGAGAGCTTTAACTGAGAACAGAGCCAATACCAGTTTTGTACAGAAATGTAATAAAAGAGAGACCAGCGTGGGTATAGCAAATACAAAAAGAAAGTGAGATTTATATAGAAAGTGCTTATTTTCTACTGTTTAGATTTTTCTAGCAGCTCTTCTGGGTTTTGTCAGCTTTTTTGTGCATTTTTTACTGTGGTATAATGTTGTATGAAATTGTTCTATGTCATATTTGCTGGACATCTTAGTTTTCCAGATGGAGTAAATGGTCAGCATTGGGTCAGTTCTGATGAAGTACAAGTTCATCGTGTGTGAGTCTTCAGCATGTGCATACACTACTAGGCATCGTTCAAAATCATGAGTCTTAAAGCTATGACAGGCAGATGCATGCTATCTAACACTTGCCTTCCAGTATCAATTACTGGATCCGAATAATCTATGAATTGATGCTAAACCTGTCTGCTGTTTGCAGGAGGAGGCACAGCTATTGCAAGGTGTGGCTGGTCTGCAGACCCTCTGCACTCCAGAGGAGGAAATGTTAAACAGAGCAGCAGCACAAGCTCCCATTTCTGTCTAAAGGTACTGGATTGCAGTGGTTTGTAGATGTGTCCCTTCCAGGAGACAAAGGCCAAATACCACGCTTTTCAGCTTATTTCACTGTAATCCAGATTTCCCACAGCAGCCATGTACTTTCATAAGCTTATTGGTGTATCAAAAGAATGTGGGGAAATCGCAAAACCTAATTAACAGTGAATGATGTCTATGAGAAAAATAGAATTGAGGGAAAGATTGGACACTTCTGTGCTCACGAGGAAGTGAGTGCAAGAGTCAGGTATGTCCTGGGGTAGAAACAGCACAAAAAAACTTAGTAAAAGTGACAGATATGCAAGTGCTTATATTTCAGTATTAATATGTCTCTCGGTTCTGATGAGGCTCTTGGAAGTGATTTTCATATAGCCTGCTTTAGGTAACAACTCTGATTATCATTTGGATTTGTTCTGTTGAGGGGCAACATTTTCACTGCATTGTTCCCATGAGCAGTTCCTTTTCAAGAGCTGTATCTTTTCAAAACAAGCTGTAGCCTTCCTTGTTTCAGAGATTACAAAATCTTGTGGGAAGGAAAAAAAATCACCTCTGTTGGAAATCTCCCTCTTCCCTCTTAAAAAATAAACACAAACATATAAAATGTCTGCATTTTGAGAGTAGCAGAGAAATTCTTCCTCTATGTCTGCATGTACTGTATAGGTTTTCTGTCTCATACAGCTACTACCCTAATTCCAGAAAGCCTTGTCTGCAGGCATAGAGACTATTTTTGACACTTGCCTGCCACTGAGCTTGAGGCTGGACTAAGGGCTGCAGAATGTATAGAGAGGTTTGGCTTTTCTTCTTTTCTCTTTAAACCCATTTTCCTTCAGGGCTGGTGGACAGTTGCTTGAATCAAAGCAGCATGCCCCAAATCAGTATTTATAACCACTCAGTAGTCACTGTGTACATTTTTTTCCCTCTCTATAAACTGGCCTTTAAAGCTGGGCAAGATGCAAACAGAGCTAGCAGGGGGGAGAAAAGAAACTAAATTATTTTGAGGATGAGAAAAACAATAACTCACTTGAGGAATGGAGCTTCTGTGTGTGCAGTTATATCCCTGTTTGGAGGCAGGATTTTGTGAAGATGGCTGAGGACAGACGAGATCTGTGCTCAGAAAAAGTTTGAGAAGCCCAGTTCTGGAAGATCAGCGGGACAGAAAGCAAATTCTGTCTAATAAAATAGCTGTAGTCTTAAGAATGATACAAAAATGATGATTTTCACTGTCCTAAAATAGCTATTCATTCCTTCATAGGCACAGGATAATAACAAACAGGGGAGCTGCATAAATTGTGTACCTTTCCTGTTCTTACAGTCCTCATCCTCTCTGAGCAGAGAGCAAGCTGTTAAGTGAGGTTGGAAGGCTGCAGAGAAGTTTCCAATGCAGAATTGAGCAGGAGTGGTGTGGTGTTCGAACATGTAGGACCCATGGAAATATTGCTTAATGTAATGTACTGTCCCCAACCATTTTCTGATATTCTATTGCCTTCGTATCAATTGCTTATGGACTTTTCTTCAGTGTTTCCGTGGGCTCTCTAGTTATGCCACATCTTGCAATCACTGTTTTTGCATGAAGAGCAAAACATTTCCACCACGATTAAAACCAGTTTGACACTATGGTACTTGCCCGATGGGATTATTCTACTGCTTAATGAATTTGCCAGCGGAGTGCTTTGTTTAAATTTCCTAGAATATTAATCCAAGTGCAATTAGCAATGTTTGTGTTTCTCTCCCAAAGCACTGGACTAAATTCTTCACCTAAGAGCTTTAGAGCGGGAAGAGCAAAGAACTACCACTCTGCTAATGAAGCTGAGTGACACTTTTGTGTTGCTTTTCCCAAAGAAAGTGCTCTACTTTCGTGTGAAATTGATAGTAATAGCAGGGGTGTTGGAAAACAATGAGTTCTGCCTCCTTCATCCAGATCATCATCATACATATTTTTATCGTTGGAGGCTGAGTTGTCAAGAAGGGCCAAACAGAACTTTAATTAAAGTAATTGGCTTGACAAGGTGACATGGCAAACTGGGTGCAGGCAGCAAGTGCAGGCATTTCCTATCTCATAGTTAAACTGCACAATAACTGTGCAGCTTTTCTGTTGTGAAAATAATAGTTTTAGGTTGCAGGTGCAAGGATACTGCATGCAAGAGTCTGTACGGAATATTGTCAGGTGTATTAAAGATTGCTAAATTGCAGTGGGCAGAGCTGGTTCAAACTCTGATCTACCCTGATAGTGATAACATACAGTGTATTTCTGGATGTTGTGTTCAGGCTTGATCCACTACAACCACTTCCGTCTTCTGGGTGGTTAGAGAAGGTTTAAATTCAACTCTTGAAAAAGGGGCCTCATCCATCATTAAGTTCAGAGGAGCCACAGAGAGGAGTGGAGAAGTGGATGAATGGCATATGTTTCATAGGTATGGTCCTGTGAAATGTGTTACCACTTCTTTATGCTGCTTTACACAGCTTGGCTTGGAACACTGTAGCTTCTCCCTTCCTTGGAGCAAGGCAGCTGGATAACTGCTGTCACTCACTGAGGGGTAATGAGGAAGCCCAAACACATTCCCCAGAGCTGTTCTCTGAAACTGTTCTGTAAAAGCAGAAGAGGGCTCTGTGCTTTGCTGAGCACTTTGTGTATCAGCATGAGAGCAGGATTCCACTTATAGACGATCTGTGCTTTAAATAAAAGCATCTAGCACAGATAAGTTACAAGATCCTGATTGGAGTTTGCTCTGTAGTAGACAAAGCAAAACACTTTCTATATGCAGTGTTAGACCCTTCGCTATATTGCAAACATCATTGTACAAACACAAGCAGCAATACTGTATGTGCTCTGCAAAGTTATTAATAAGCCATGGGAAGCAAGTAGACAAATTAGATGCCCTAATGCATCTCTTAGAGCCATGGCCTCTAGGGATTGATAGCAACATGCTGAATAATTGAACTGCCTCTTAAGAATTTGTTTGCTCTAAGCAGCCAGCAGCTCGACACAGCAGCTGTGCAGCCACCACAGCAAAGACACTAAAGGCTGAACAGCTACGGAGGTGGGTGCAACAGCACATTAGATGGGAGAACAGGATAGGGAAACCCACACAGCTACTCCTGTTATATTTTTATCTGCAGAGCTAGAAGTCTGTGCTTGTCCACAGCATTAACATCCTCCTAAAATAAAATGAGGGAGGAGGATGCATTTCTGTGTCAACACACTTGCAAAATTGAAGAACAAATTTTTGAAACTGATGCAACAACAGTAGCAGAGAGACTCATCTGCTACAAATAATGTATTTAGCTATTTGAGAGGGCAAGTGAGCTGATAGATACCTCAGAAGTAATGAGATCCCCTCTCCAAAATCCTTGCTTGCAATGCAAATTGAGGGCAGTCAGCATACCACTAAACTGCTGAGCAGCCTGTAATAACAAGTCCCAAATCACGAGTGAATAGAAGCAGACCGCCATTTGTAGTCTTATCCTGTACATCCATTTGAAGATAAAGGGAAATTGTGCCTTTGCATCTGGGACCAAATGAAAACAGGAGTCCTTAGTCTATAGGTTGTGATGTATTTTGTCTATTATTTGAAGCTTTCTTTTTGCTATTCTCAAACAATTCCAGTTGTTAATATCCTCTTCACATTTCTCTGCAGGCTGCTGAGAGTTATTAATCACGTAGCTCTGTCCGTTTATCTGATGTAATTTTACTGGGTTTCCTGTGGCTAATCACAGAGCAGAATCTGGAAAATTATTCTTTTTAAGGATGATTTCCATTATTGAGAGAAATAGGCCAAAAATCAGAATCCCAGATCAAAAAGCTTCTGTGGTTTCGGAGCATTCAGAGCTCTGGAGAATTGGATTTCATCTGGCTAATGCGCAAAAAGGAAAAGGGCAGTCAGGTCCCTGGTGATTATGTCAGACATCAGGGTTCTGACAGGCAGAGCTGAGCACTTCACTAACTCCTGCTCTGCCCCTCTGAGCCCTGCTGGCTTCCTGGATGCGCAGCCTGAGCTGAGTCTAAGTGAAGTAACCATCAGGTACAGCATGTCCCTCCTCATCGTACAGCTTGCTAATCCTCAGGGAAACATGCGCATTTATTCCATTAGCAGAAGAGCCAGAGATCAATATTCTGTTAGGTATATTGTTATTGGTACATTGGTCAGCCACCATAAGGTAAAGATAGAGATGGTTTAACATGTAGTTAGCCCTTTGACGCTGATCTGGG